GGCCCTGCAGACCATGGAACACCTGAACCTCCCTGTGATTTTGCCCCTTCCTCCCTTTGCTCTGTCACTACTATCCCTCACTGCAGAGGTGGAAGGGAACTAGCTGAGTTCAGTGGAGTTGGGGGCTCAATTTACCAGCAAACATGAGCTGATGACACCAGCAAGTGCAGAGGGAAATAGCTGGTGGTGAGTCCCCTCTGCACACACATGGGGGGGTTACTTCTGCTTCTGGGTGGCTCCTCTGGACCCAAGTGTTTGCTGCCACAGCAGCTCTGTGATGGGAACCAGAGTATGGCTAGGTGAGCCACCCAGATGTGCTATGAAAATGCTCCTTTGAGCTAAACTAAACCATTGAAGAAGGCAGCCTCAGATTTCTTTTATCATTCCTCACGAAAAAGATGAATTTTCCACACAATTCCGTGTAAATTACTTTTCTTTGTTGTTTTTTGGTGGGTTTGTTTGTTTCTTTTTGTCTTGGTTTGGTTTTTTTTTCGGTTTGTTTTTTTTTAGGTAGGCATTGCAGCTATAATTAGAATGTATTCTAGACATAAAATATTCCTTTTGGAGACTGTAAACAAGATTAAATAAGTAAGCTATGAAAGGTTGAGACAGAGGAAGGCATAAGGAAAACAGGAAAACAAATCATAGTAGCCTGCAGATTCGATTGCTTAAGATGGGAGGGAAGCACTAGGTAGTTTTGATTCTTAGCACTCAATGTAAATAAATGATTGTTTTTTTCACAGTAAGAACGTGTTAACATACCCAGACATTACCAAATGGACTGTTTCATTAAGCTCTTCTGGAGTACAATCAGTATCATTAAATCATTATTGCCAAAAAATAGAAGTTTGTGATCATTGGACAAAATCTCCGTGTGGACTTAAAAAGTAGATAGATTAGCAGAGAAATTGGGAAAATGCTCATTAAATACCCCAGGAATTTTATCATTTGTTTTATGTTCATTTGAAAAACCATGGAGCTCCTCTCACCACATAATCACTAAACTAATTGCTGATTCCAGCCCTAGAGCTGTTATATTTCAGGGGAATTGAATGGCTCTGGAGCCTGTGTATGAATCAGGCAGATGCCTTCTTTCATTCTACCCTGTCTCTCCTGTTTCTCAGTGGTGCCCTCCAAGCCCATCAGGCTTGTCACTGGTGTCACATCCTATTCCTTTACCTCCTCTCTCCAGCATCAAGCACGACCAGGCTTCCACTGATCTGCACGAGGTTTTGACAGCTTAGATTGAGAGCATGACCCTCACAGCAATCATAGGAAGCAACCTTTTGGTGACATCAGTGGTACAGAAACATTGCCTTTGGTAGAAAATAGCTAAATTGCATTCTGAGAGTATTTAATGAGTTCAAAGAGAGACTGGTTTGCATTTCTTTTACCAAAATCCAACAAAACGATAGGTTTTCATACATTGTTAGGATTTTTGGGTGCCTGAAGGACCACAAGGAAGATGCCACACTGACCATAGTGCTTTCCTATGGCTTTAACAGCTCCACACCTCCAATTTAATACCACAATTCTTTGGTACTTGATAATAAAAACAATATACCCAAGGGTAAGAAACCATGGTAGCTGTTAACAGTGGGCTGTGAGGTCTTTTTGTTTGCTGATGACTTCAGACTCTGAGGTTCCTGAGCACCTCACCGAGAAAGATCATAACATCAGATACTCTAGTTAGGGGGTATTCCACTGCAGTTTGATGGTGGTGTGATGATGCCCATTTATTGCCAGGTTACAATGGTAAACCTCCTGTATCTGACATCCTAAACAAACTAGTAAATACTAACCCTCCAATCCAGGGTGGCATCATTGAATCATAGAACAGTTTGGGTGGAAGGGACCATAAAGATCATCCAGTTCCAACCACCTGCCATGGGCAGGGACACCTTCCACTAGACCATGTTGCTCAGAGCTCCATCCAACTTGGTCTTGAACACTTCCAGGGAAATCCACAGCTTCTCTGAGGAACCTGTTCCAGTGTCTGAGCATCACTACAGTAAACAGTATCTTCCTAAAATCTAATCTAACCCTGCCTCTGCTTTGAAGCCATTTCCCTTGTCCTGTCCCTACAGTTCCTGAAGAAGATTCCTGCTATGAGTCCCCAGCACAACCTTCTCTTCTCTGGGCTGAACAGCCCCAACACTCTCAGCCTGTCTTCACACAGGAGGTGCTCCAGTCCCCACATCAACTTCATGGCATCCTCTGGACATCCAACAGCTCCGTGTCTTTCTTATATCAGGGCACCAGAACTGTGTGTTGTATTCCAGATGGGGCATACTCACTGGAGCAGAGGATCTGGATCTGGAAGAGCATTCAAGAATCATTCAAATCTTCCTCTGATACATCTGGACTTTTACTGCTCACTAAATATCAAAAGCAGCTTTTGAAAAAGTATATATTGCAAATCAAAATTTCAACTGACTCCAGGACTTTCTCCTGAGAAAATAGGAAAACCTGCTTTGTTGTTGTAAGGCCAGTGGGGGTATCTTATGGAGGGTGCTGGGAAGCAGGGTGATAAAGACTGAGTATGTTCTATTCTCTCAGTCACCAAATCCTCCCTGAGTGACTCATCCCATGGGAGTTTTGGGTTAGCCCAGAACAGTATTCCTTACAACAGCCAAAAGCAAATCACTCTAGGGAAATATGACAATATTTGGCTGTCGAGTATTCTCCTTGTTTCCAGTAACCTGTACCTCAAGGACTTTCCAAGCTCTGAGTGGCATAACCATCAATTGATTTCTCTTCCATGAATCTAACCAGTGTCTCCTTGACATATAAATTTTAAGCATCCATAACATCTTGGTATGAATAAAACTTAGTCCCTAAATATCTAGAACTAATCAATCCTTTAAGCAGCTTTGTTGACTTCTGAACTCTCACAGAAGCACTTAATTTGACAATTAATTTAATTTACCACCTTCAAGTGCTAGTATCTTTACTCAAAGCAGTGCACAAGATTTTCCCATGGCTTGATTTCTTCATTAGGTTCAATGCATGACATGAAATAACAATATGCAGGAGGTTTTAAAGATCACTGATATGGTCAGGGCTGAAAAAAAATGGATCAGAAGGGTTTAAAGATGAATTAAGGAAGAAATGGGCACAATACAGAAAGCGAGTGACTAATTTACTCCAGTTGTTGATGTTGAGATGAAAAGTAAGAATATAGATAAAACTTCACAGTAAAAGCCTTCTCCTTGACCCACAGACATTTAAAACTGTCACAAATGTGTGATCACTTCAATTTATATGAAATGTGGTTGAAGCATACACACACAAAGACTCAAGAATCCTTGGTGAATTTGTGACAGCCACATTTTTAAGTGAAACATCAGAGCTTTCTGGTACTCAGCATTAAATCTAACAACCTCAGGGACTGCTCATTTACAGTAGGTAATGCTTTAGTGGCCCATGAGCGTTGCTGGATTTTCATGACCTTAAATCAGAGGCTGACTTGAGTATTCTGCTGTAGCCATCTTCTTTACAGAAGCTAACATCTGGGCAAAAACTAGCAGAAATATCAGTTTCAATTAATATATTGTTTTACAACTCAACCCAAATTATCACTGACAGAACTAGGCCTTAAGTGCAATATGGGAATTAGTTTTCCTAAAAATTCACCAACTGAACAGACCTGAGCAGATGACCCACAACACATCTGTGAAATACTCAGCTTGGTGAAATAATTTCTTTAACTGTGACCCAAATAATGAAGTATACAGTGTTAGTTGTCAATTAATGCTGTTACCAGAGAGCAAGCAGAATGTTATGCAAAACAAGAAGCTGCTTCTAAGGCAATAGAGATACCTATTATGACTTCTAACTAACCTCTTCATCTTTTTTAAGGATTTATATATAACTCTTTCTTGTCAAATCTTTTTGATGAACTCTATTACTGATGTTGGAAGGTGATGACTGTCAGCCAAGAACTACATTAGAGTCCATAATTGAATTTCAAGAGTTGTCAAGAGCAGGCTAATCAAATAGCTGCTCCTAGACGTAAAATATGAAAGAATGAAAAAAACCAAAGTTCTCTTCTGGCAGGATACAAAGTATGTTGTATAGTTTCCCTGTGTCATTTCTAATAGTACGTTCAATTTTTCTGGGCTACCTTTGTCTGACATTCTTCTCTTGTATAATAATGATTCATTATATATAATGTATTCAATGACTGTAACTCACCCCTTAGTGCCCAAAAATATGACTGCAGCTAGACATTTGCATTGTAAAACAAAAGCATAACACCAGGGTTTATGAAGAATCCTTTTGTATTAGTTTCTTGACAGGAATGCTAGACTTTTTCCTGAAGTAAAATACTGACCTCAAAACAATCTCAAAAATCTAGCACAGGAAGCAATTAACAGCTCTTCCTTTCCCTGTACTTAGGTAATTTGACAATTTTAGGGAGAGATGGGGGGCAAAATATTCCTTGGCCATTCAATGAGGGTGAAGAACTATACTCACTCTACTGATCATTAAATCCATGGCCTGCAGTTTGGAAGTTTTAGCAGTGTTCAAGCTATGTGATGGGCTGTGGTCCAAAAATACAGAAATGCAAGCAGTGTCCCCAAACAGTGCTGAGTAAAATGGAGATGATGCTCCCTGAGCCCTCAATTAAATATAGGGGTTGTTCATGACAGCAAGGAGTGCAGCAGGAAGGCTGTTAATTCAGGCATCACCCTAAATTAATTTTTCCTGCCTGCTATTCCCTGCCTGTTCTTGGGCAAGGCATTTATTTTCTCCTCACTGCTTTTATTCACCTTTTTTATTCCTAATTGCACCAGGACACTGGGGGGACACACAGGACCAAGTTGTACTCTTGGTTCTGCCTTTAGCTGCTCTCAAAGGAAATATGAGCACAACTACATTTTTGGTTTCACAGTTATTTACACTTTAACACTACATAGCACTCCTCCTGAGCTAAATGGAATCGATTCTTTGCTGCTACTGTACAACCTCGAGAACAACAGCAACAACAGTAAAACCAGCAGGTTAGCAAAATGTTTTATTACAGTAAAACATACCATACATAGAGGAGAGCCAATGGTTATATTTCATCTCTCCCATCAAAGCAAAGTATCTTTATAACATTACCCACTGGGTTAAAAAGGAAATGCTAATAGAAATAATTTCATTATTAAAAATATATAATGCTTTCTATTTATTTTGGTCTATATTAGAAAGGAAAATATTGGGATGATAATATGGCTTAAATATATTAAAATTTTCCTTCTGGGGAGCTTGTCTTCATGTCTAGCTAGACCACACATGGAATGAGTTCAGGAATCTCTATTTGACAGCAAGTATCAGCCCACATTAGGTGTAAATTTGGTATCTTCAACCAGAATGCCTGAGTTTGTTAAGAAGAGGGAAAGTCCTGGATACCTGTTCTACAATGTTTTACTTTTACTGCATATTAACATTTCTTCAGTATATTTTTTTCCTATTTTTTTTCCTCTAGATAATGCCAAGTTTGTCTTCCCTTGTTTTAAGCATTACATGGTAAAGAACAGACCATCATCTCATCACAGAAACTCATTTTAGCATAATGGAATTGATCACCATGGCTGGTTCTTAAAAATTCTGACAGAAGTGAAGGAAAGGAGAGAAAGAGTGACTACAGAGAGCTATTCAGATTTCCTCCATTAACACACCTGCACTGAATGACCTCCTGGAGAAATCTCTCTCTCCACTAACCACAGTGGAAGCTCATGAAGACTTGGCTGGAAAAAATTAGCCCTTGTGAATCTGGAGTTCACAGGATTCTACAGCATCCAAACCTCCTAGGCATGGAAACTTCCATCTATGTCTGTAGAGTGCTCTTAGTCACCCTCAGTCATCTGCTATTCTTCCCAGGAATCTGAGATGCATAGCATGGTCTTTGCAAGCCTAAAGTTCTCTCACAAGTTGCCATTTGTGCAGCATTTAAGGCAGCAGATTGTCAGGCTTAGCTGGGACTTCAATGTTCCACAGAAAGACAGAGGAACTGTTAAATATATTTAGCAGTTCCTGTTAAAAATGACCGAAATATCAGTCAGGGAGGGACAGGCTGCTACAAAACACACTGGATAAAAGGAAAATGGCCTTTCATGGAACTGAAAAACACTATCTAAAAATGTCATTAACAACATCCTATCATGCCTCAGACTATTTGTTGGACATTATTCAGAGTTGCCATGTGTACAACATCCTCACCATTTTCAATCAACTGGCCAAAACTGCACTATGTTGATACTAAAATAGCAGTAGACAATCTGTAGTGCTACATCCTTGTCCACATTCCCTGTAAAACCCTGAAAATCTAAGGCAACATTAGATCACAGCTGCACTGTTCTGAAAAGCTCACAGGGAGGTTCTGCTACTCAAACTTGCTCTCTGTATCCCGGTATACAAATGAGCACTGTGACAGTAGAAACAACACCTGGTCAATTCTTGCTGCTGTCACTTGAGCTCACTGGGAGGTGGGGCCAAGAATGCATCATCACATTTTAAAAATACATATGTTCAGAAAAGACTGGTATCCTGGTTGTTGATAGATTCATTTTCCTGGATATACTGGAGAATGTCCACTTCATTCATTGTCTGAATCCTGTTTTCCTTTTGCTTTGCCAGTGAAGGTGAATTAGTGCTCCTGGGGGCAACTGCTGGCTTCTGAGGCAGAGGTGGTTTTGGTGGGACCTTAGGTTTTGGTTTGGAGGTAACCTCTAAGAGCTTCTCAAAATCATCTTCAACTCTGGAATGAAAAGAAAACATCAGTAGCATCATGGGAATTTCTGAATTGTTTTTTGTTTTGTAAGAAAATGCAATCTTTCAAAACAAAGCTTTCTGCAGGAAAGGATCTACTCTGCTAAGTTTCTCTCTCCATAGAAGTTCCCTTAAGAATCATCTTTTTTATGATGTGGCCTTTCAGTTCACACAAGTTAACTTATATAAGTTAATTTTACAGCATGTTTTCAAATGTCTAAATTAAAGGCAATTCGTGATTACTAAAAACACCAAACTTTATTTTAGTTTGGGAAAAGAATGTTTATCATTTGTGACAGGATACTTTGCTTCCCCATAAATTTTCACGAAAAAGTAAAATTATCCACATTCAACTCTGTTTCCTCTTCATCCCCATTACCCAAAACTGAGATTGAGCATCCTCATGCTCAATCACGAGAAACTGTAAACACTAATGGATTTTAAAATTCTGTGTTCATATTTGGTTCTGGGAAACTGAAGAAGTTTTGCAATCTGTGACCACATACAACAACTCTTTTTGATGATAACTTGATTCTGATTCCTACTGAAATAACCCAGAACACCTCAAACAGTTCAAGGTATTTTCTACCTGCACTATTTGACCCTATCAGATATGCAGCAAGCTGTTTGTGCCCAACTCTGTTCCCATGTGAACTGTTAAAAGATTTTAAGAGCACCCTTATCACAGATTATCTTGTGACTGCAAGAACTGTGTGCCTTTGGAAAGTCAAAATATGGAGTAAAGAAAAAGAAGGATGCTCTCCAGTGGCTCACTGACTGGAACAGGATATGGTACTGGAGCCCAAGGAAGATGCCTTTTTAGTTTCTTCTTCTCCATTACCCGCAGATAGGCAGTCCCTGGAACATGAATAAATCATTTCATGTAATGTATTTTATGACTCTTCCTCTCATCTGCCTTTTGTAGTTAGAATCATGGGATCAGTAAATATCCTGAGCTGGAAGGGACACATCAAGATCATCAAGTCCAACTCCTGGACCTGCACAGGACATTCCAAGGATCACACCATGTGCCTGAGAGAACTGCCCAAATGCTCCATGAGCTCTGTCAGGCTGGTGCTGTGACCACTGCCCTGGGGAGTCTGTTCCAGTGCCCAACCACCCTCTGGGTGAAAAACCTTTTCCTAATATCCAATTTGTAACTTCCCCACTGCCAGGCAATGAGGCATCTTAGGGGGTTACCCAGAACCCTTTGAAACCCCTGGGATAATTTCTGTTTCCTAAATGTGACAGATGATAGGGATTCCTCCCTTTCTCTCTCTATTCATCAGTTGCCTTAGGAAAGGTGCTGTAAATGCCTCTACCACATGGCAGTACAACTGCTGAGGCTTTCTGCAGACAGTTAAAAGCAAAGTTGAGCTTTTCAATAATTTGGGAAGCAACTGATGAGGCAACTGTCCAGGATGACCAGGAACATGACTGAAGAACCAACATCTCTGAGACACTTTACTCTTCCATCTCCAGTGAATATTGTTTGAATGTTAAAACCATAGGTATTTGAAGAGTTACAGCCCCTTCAAGTTAAGGATCCCATTATTACTAAGATGAACTGCGTGATTTCAAGGGTTTCTTTTTTGTGTTCACCCTCATTAAAACCTGTGAGGAATTTAAAACTATACAGCCCAGGCTGAGACAAACTACACTCACCATGAACCGGCCATGAAGTCAATAAGGATTAGCTGAAAGTCAGAACTCTAAGGTAAAACCATTCCTAACGTCAGACAGCTCTTCTTGTGACTCCCAAAGGGAAACTAAAAAGAATCACTTTTAACCAAGGCTGCTCTTGTAAAACCAATAGCATGAACACTGATATCTAAAACTAGGGAACATCTGTAACAGAGCAGCTGATGGTCAGAGCCATTCTCTGCCCCAGAGTTCGGCACCTTGAACTCTACCTATGGTATTCCAGCAGACAGAACCTCAAATTGCATTCTCTAAGCAACTCCAGAGATTATATTCTCTTTTATTTAGATAAGATTTCTGATGTCTTTTTTTTCCATGATTCCTTGTGGGTGACATATCCTACTTAACTTACAAAACAAACTCAATGTATTTCTGAATTCCTCATGTACAAAGAAATTAATTTCATTTAAGCCCAGCCTTTCTGTTTGTTGCAAACTCTGATATCCAAGAGGTATCACACCTGTGATCACATTGCCAAGACATGTTCTTGTTCTCTTTGCTGTGTAATAAACAAAACTTGTTAGGGCTGGTATTTCTGAAGTCTCCCTTCTTGGCATAAACAAATTGTGAATGAATCAGTGTCCATGTCATAAAATTTTGGTCTTAAATAACAGAAAACATAATAAGCAGAGGAAAAATACACAGTATATACAGAGACCATATGGAGGAAGCAGTATTTTGAACTATGTGCACTACCCAGAAAGGGTAGCAGTAAATCCAGTTCCCTAACCTGATATGATGGTACAACTTCCTAAATTCTCTACTCCAGTTTCTGTGCTAATCACAGCAACAAAACCACTCAGCACAGCCAAGAAAACACCCCCAAAAGATCCAGTCCACTAGGTTGTGGGGGTCTTTAGGGGATGGGGGTTTGGTGTTCTGCTTTTAAGCCAAAGAAATTCTGGAAGCTGGTGATGTAATTTCCTTTTTCTGTTCTGGATTTTTTCAAGACCTAAGTTAGACAGAAGTCTCTTAGAGAGAACACAGCAGATAATATGTGGTCTTTGTCTCAAAACCTGCTTTTCAGTGCTGCAGTGCTAGGCAATCTGTTTGATCCACTGCTGTGTGATCATGTGAGACAGAACTGTCTTTGCAAAACTAAAGAGGTAAAATGTAAAATGCCTCAGGCAGAGATAGAAACAGGGTCTTGTATTTCTTGAAAGCAAATGAATTGTTACAGTGCCTAACTACCACCATATTTAACTCCAGGCCAGGAGAGGAAGAAAAAATCAAGCAACTATTCTGAAACAAGATTAAAGGAAGAACCTTCCCATCCCATTTTTTTATAGACAATCAGGCAAAGAACCCATGTAATTAATCATTCTTTAATTAGTCTCTTTCTGTAAAAGAAAGCAGCACCACATTGTTTAAAATGCCTGCCATATTGTTGTTCTGATTCAAAGAGACTATTGGTGGAAATTCTCTCTGACACAGAAAGCAATCAAAGCCCTTACTGAAGAAAGGCTGTCACAAAGCCCTTCCTGACTGCTGGCATGTGGACTTCCAGACAGTAAATGAATTCTGACTTGGAGACAGATGCAGCTGCCACAAGAACATCAACATTTTAGATGCCATTTCTTTGGACTTTGTCCCTTCTCTATGGACCAGATCTTTGGGACAGGAATGACTGTCTGCATATAAAATATGATGGGGACAGTGACCTTTGCTTGCTGGGAATGCTTTAATGAGGAGAATCTGTAATGAAAGCAAGAGACAAAGACTCCCATAATTTGCTAAAGTATCCCAAAGGCTCATGCTTGAAGTTCAGTTATGCAACTAACTGCAGTTCTTGCAGAACAGACTTTCATCTTTTGTTATCTTATTATCTTTATTTTGACTGGTGTTAATTCCAAGTATGAGAGATACCTTGGTGAAGCCTTGGCGAGTGCTGTAATACCACATCTACAAGTTGGGAAAAGACTTGTGCCCAAAAATAGGTAGGAGACTTCAAAGTATCTGTTGCCCATCATGTCTGCTATGCTCAGGAGAGACAGTGTGATGTCCAGCAAGGCCCAGGGAAAGATACAGGCTAGAGTTAACCCCAGAAATGCCAAGCACTGGGGGCTGTAAAGGAGGTCTCTCTCTTCCTGCTTCAGCTTTCCCCTGCAATCCATTTCAGGTAAATACAAAGCAATATTTTAACCAGGGCCAGGAAATATGTCTGGACACTGGAATGTGACAGTCTGTATTGTTTAAAACCTACAAGAACCACTGCCATGGCTTTGGTTTGGGAGAGATTAGCCCTCCTCCAAAAAACTCTCCGGAACAACTTAAAGCTGGTGTGGGACAGGGACCATTCCCTGGAGGCAGCTGCACACAGTCCCCTTGTTCTGCAGCTGCAGAGTCCAACAGCATGGATGCAGCCTGGGGGTGCTACCTGGCCAAGAGAACAGGCTCATTAGTGCACGTAAGTCCCACAAGAAGCCCTTTTGAGGAAATCAACCTGCTGGTTACATCACTCACCTAGGAAATGAAAAAAAGTCAATTTTTCTAGTGTGAAAAAGTTCAAACCTCTCTCTCCTGCCTCTCTAGAAAGTTCGCCAATCACCAGCCAAAGGCACAGCTGGGGCAGGGGAGAGCAGGCAGCTTTTGCCCCTTGAGCTGATGGTCTGCCAAAAATGCAAAAAACCTGGGGGGAAATGGTTGAAATCTGGTGGTTCTCAAGCCCAGCAAAAGCATCTTTTGCTACACTAGGACTCCACATCACCTCTGTACATTATACTCCACAACCTGTACATGTTCCTAAGGATGGGTCAAGGTCTAGCAAAAAACTTTCTGTTTTGTTGGCAAGTTTACTTTATGATTTTTCTAATGCTTGTAAGTAGCATCCCAATACATCACAGGAATGAAAAAGAAAAAAAAAATGCCTGAAAACCATCCCAGAAGAATTTGTTTTTCTGTAACCTACTGCAGCCAAATCAAGGACCTTTCCCCACAGTTTGGTCATAGCAAGCAAGAGAAGCTGCCCTGGACTGGTCAAGAGAAACTGCCCTGGAGTGGTCACAAAATTTCTGACTCAGTTATTCCAACCTTCTCTTCCACCTGAACATTGCTCAAATAACCCTCTCCCCAAAGGATCTAGATTAACCCTCTGGAGTTTCTCAAAGCTTTTTTTCTACCTATAGTGTTGTTCTCTTACTCTCAGGACAGTAAGCATTGGTGCTGGAGATGCTGCTCCTGGACAGGTTGAAGATGTGTTACTCTCTGAATTCAGCATGCTAATGCCTGCTGAAAGAAGAATACACAAACCTTTCCTGCTTCGAGGGTGGCAATCCTTGGCAAACCTGAAGCTGACAAACCTGCTCAAGAAGCTCTGTGGACTGAACGGTATCTGGGTGCATTTTCACAAACAGCCTCACCCTTAAAAAGTATAATGCTCCTGGAAAGGGTTATCAATGCAATCCTAAGAAGGAACACACCAGATCTGCCATCACAGGGCAGTAGAACTGGGATCCTACTGCTGACACTTTTTTTCTGCACTGGAAAAAGACACATGTAGTGCTGACAGCTGCTTCCTTCCATCTCAGCTCTCTATTCATTATCAAAGGTGAAGCTAATTAAATCTCTCCTAAAAGGCTGCTCAGGCAGCTGTGATAATTATTTCAGGCTAGGATGTGTGATAATTTATGCAATTCTGTGGGCACACAGAGCTGCTGCAACATTCACAGGATCAAGTCCAGCACTGGATTTCCACAAAAACCTGATCCATCACACCAGGCAGGCATGATTGAGATTAATGAGGCAGAAGAGTGCATGCCTGTAGGGCTATGACCTCATTGGCATCATGGAGACCTGGTGGAATAGGTCCTGGGACTGGAGAGTTGGAATAGAAGGATACAGGCTCTTCAGGAAGGACAGGCAGGGGACGTGAGGAGGGACTGTCACCCTCTGTGCCAATGACCAGCTGGAGTGCACAGAGCTCAGCCATGAGCCTCAGATGAGGAGCCATCCAAGAACTCAGGGGTCAGGATTAAAGGGAAGGCAGGGACAGGTGACATTATTGAGGGGGTCTGCTACAGGCCACCAGACCAGGAAGAGTGAGTGAATAAGGTACAGAGAGGAGCAGCTTCACATTCACAAACCTTAGTCCTCATGGAGGACTTCAACCACCTCATTATTTGTTGGAAGGACAGACAGCAGGGCTGATTAAGCAATGCAGGAGGTCCCTCAAAATGCATTTGAGGCTAATTTACTTCTCCAAGTGACAAAGGAGCCAACAAGGAGAGGTGATAGGCTGGACCTCATTCTCACCAACGAGGAGGGGCTGCTGGGCAAAGTGAAGCTCAAGGGCAGCTGGGCTGCAGTCACCATGGAATGGTGGAGTTTGAGTCTCTCATGGTAGTAAAGTGGGTACTCAGCAAACTCAGTACCCTGGATTTCAGGAGAGCAAACTTTGGACTCTTCAGGGATCTGCTTTGTAGAGTCCCATGGGATAAAGCCCATGAAATGTCCCATTGCACTTATAACACAATTGGTTCTTCTCAATGCTCAGCACTTGCTCATGTAAAGTTGGTGATTCTATTTAAAACAGTAATTCTCATTTCATATGAGCAAGTATCCACAGAGAGCACAGTCTTCAGTTTGCAATGAGAACATTTATCAGATTCTCTTCTCCCTCATGTTGTGACAAGCACAGCCCACGCACATTTTGCAGACTCATTTGTCTCCTTAACAGCCTCTGCCTCATGAGTTACAGCCACTGCTGAGGATTCACTGCTGTGCTGACACTGCTGTGGCGCTACCGCTGCTACAACCATTCAGGTGCCATAAAGATCACAAAGGCTCTGGGTGCTCCTGTGTTCTGCTCCGAACATTACCTTCTTCCCCTCCCCCTTTGGAAGAAAGTTTTGCCCTCCTCTGCCTTAGGCAGCTCTCTTCTAACTCTGCCCATGATTCACAGTGAGTCAGACACTTCTCAGATCTACCACACACATGTGAGCAGACCCTGAGGTACATGTGAATGTTCACTGCATCAGTCAAGAGCTCCTACATCTGCATTATTCAGCTACTCCACTGGAGTGCAGTGAAGATGTCCAGGTTTCTGGACCTACCACAGACCTGCTGGTGCATCACAGCTCAAGACAGTCCTAGATCTTAACAAAATGTGTCCAGGTAAACTTTCAGTATGATATAATCAACTATGTCCAAGAGACCAAGGTGTTTCCATTTCCATTTCTAGTAGCATATCCAGCTCTAGCCTGCTGAAGAAATGGGTTGTCACAGCTCCTACTCTGATCTGAGGGCTGTGGAGAGATTTCTTCAGTACCTTTTGGGAGAGTAATTGTCAACATATACAGGGCAAAGGCAAGACTTATTCTTAGGCCTCAAAATAAGCTCAAGTTCCCATGCCAGGGAGATTGCAGAGTGCAGCTTATGTTGAACACTTTCTCACCACAAAGGGTCACTGCCTGGAAAAGAGACTGTGATTCTGCCCTGCAAGAATATTCAATACCAGTTTGGTGGGAAGGAATGGGGGGAGAGGATTCAAATGTGGCCTCATTCAAATGCTGCCCCTATATTTATGAGACCTGACTGTTCTGCTGAGGCTTCCAGCTGAACAGAAAACAAAGTGCATTTTGCCCTACCACTGGAGAAAGTTCCACTATGGGATTTCAGGTGACTGCAGTGAATTTGCATAGAGGGAGGTAAAATGTTGCATTAGATTAAAACAGCACTGCCACTTCTCCTCCCCTCTTGGACAGTAGCTTCTCCTTTACCCTCAACTGCCCTGCATTGAGTTCACCCGTCCTCTAGGATGTGCAGAAAACACCATGGACTGGGTTTACCAGGGGAATTTCAGAGGGTGTTAGGCACCTGAACAGGTCAACAGATCCTGATCTATCTGCCTGTATCTCTTGCACAGCCAGGAGCTGCCTCTGGATTCCCATAACAACTTTCCTATTGGACCATTGGCATGGTTTTCTGCTTCATTATATGTATTCATTTCCAATTGGATCTTGATGACTTATCAACTATTGGAAGCACTGAGACAAATCAGAAATAAATGAAAACTACTGGAATTTAAAAGAAATTAAATATTTTCCCATGGGTTCTCATAACCATCTGGGTGTGCTGCTGTTGCTGATGATCCCAAACTGATCTGAAACCATGGTCTAGTGAGCAGACTTCAGAGACCTTTCTCTGAACATATATAATCCAAAAGAGATTAACACAACAGATGGAGAAGTTCTCTCTAGTGGATAAAAATGCAAGGACTGCACTGCAACAGGCCCTTCTCCTGTAGTCATATGAACACTCTGGATGAAGTGCTGTATGCTGAGATCACTGTCAGACAAGAAAATATTGCAAGAACACGTGTGTTTGCTCCCAGTACACCACAGCATGAAATCAGGTCATGTCCTGCTCCATCAGCTCCTATAAACATCAGGTGGGCTGTCAGGGTGGAATGCAAGATGGCATCCAACCCAATTTAACCTTTGTTTAAAGTAAGTCAGATATTACTCTTGAGATAGCCAGCACCTTTCCATGCGTAGAAAGCAACAGCTGCAAAATTATCTGCTTCAGGAGAGGTTTGAAACCACACACAGAGTCTCTCTCCTGGGTTTAGTACCTGCTGTGGAAATCATACATCCTAACAGAAGCTGGTTGACACAAATTAGCACTGGAAGCAGGCTGGCTTCATCATTCAGATGCCAGAGACCCAGAAGGAATGAATTTGACTCATTACTGCAGCACAGATTCCCTGTGTCTCTCCAAGCACTGGTTCCCTGCTTGATCTCTGGAGGATTATCAGTGCAGGCAAACCAGCCGTGTGAGAGAGACGTCAGGGATAAATACATTATGTGCTGATGTGTTCCAGTGCTACACTGTCAAGAGAGAAGCAATATATTATACCCTCCTGCAACTCTGAGCTCCGGCCCTCCTTCTCACTAAATTAAAAATTAAATGCAGGGTGATAAAGACTCCTTTACTGCTGTGGAGGTATGCACAGGATCTCTCCTGGAAATCATTCCTCCTGTGGCAAGAGCCCCTGTTTCAGGTCCCTGAAGCTGAACTGCTCTTTATCTCTGGGATTTGTTCCCCACTTTTCACAACGGAGGTCAGGTTCCCTGTGGATTGTTTGAAGGAAGCAGAAGTGTCATGTTAGAAAACAAGAACAAGATAGCACACCTTGAGCCTTCAAGGCTCTTCCTTTGGAGTCACAGAATAATTCCTTGCACCCCATCTTTCTCAAAGGGTCTTCCTAACTTCCTTTTTAATGTGTTTGATGTCCAAGCTCCATGACACTCTTGTTACTACAAGTATTGATTCATAGTTTGCATTCTGAGTATTTAAGCTTTGCCCCCAAATTAATCTCTTTCAAGATCTAAGTAACATTTCAGACCACCTTCATGCCACATGACAGATTTGAGATGAGTACCTTAGCAGTTCCTCAGTGTCCTCCTCAGGATCCCTGCTCAGCACATGCTTGCTATGCTCACAAGCAGCTGGCAGCAGCAGTGAGTCACCCAGTCTCACCACCCCACCGAGGTCTGGGTCTTCAAATAACTTCAGATCTAGAAAGGGGAATCAGAAGCTGCTGTAGTTAAATCATGCTGTGTAACACAATGCCTACACTAACACTAACTAGTAAATCTGGCTAGTTGGGTTGAAAACACATATCATGTAGACAATTCGTTTTTTTCCAAAAACTTCCAGTCCACTAAGTGCAGCGATACTCTGCACTCTAAGGACTTGGTAAATCTGCTTTTTTGTGGCATTCAAAAGTAGGTCATATTACTCTTGTTAGTGTGGCCTAAGTGACTGTGGGACAGCCAGCTCCCACAGACCTTAATATCCTAGTTCCAAATGTTTACAGAGAACAGCTATGGGAGCTTCAGGTTTCATTTGTTCTTTCTAGATTATTCTGCTCAGCTGAAGATTTGCCTTAACATTTCCAAGTCATTGTTTAGCCTGTATACTATGCATCACTGTAATTTAAAGGCTCAGTTATACATATGCTTTAGATAAAACAATCTGTGTATATACAAATATAAACAGATTTACTCTCTTTCATCTTTCTTCTGGGATCAATTGATGAGAAATCCTTTTCTGGGCCAAAGAGTCCTTCATTCGGATCCACCTCCTCTTCAAAAATGGTTAATTTGGGCTTCTCTTCCTTGGCTGGAGGAGCAAGTGTCTTCTTTGTTTTCTTAGTTCTAAAACATAAGAGAAAAGAAAATTAGCGGCAACTTTTCATTTAACAAGCAAGACTTATGGCTAGGAAGTCTCAAAAGCTGAAAATAGATAGTGGGAGGCTAAGAGAGGTTTAGACAAAGGTACACAGGCATCTGTTAATTGCTGGCAGGAATGGGATACTAAGCTGGAGGGACAGTTGGTCTGGCATTCTCTAGCTGAACCCATGTTGTGTATTCTTAATGTCTGTCAAAGGCCCTAATGGGAATGGGAAAAGCAGAGCTAACAATGCTGTACTGTGCAAACTACTACTCAGAAACATTTAAGCAGCTTTACTCCTCCCACACAGAAAGCTTAAAATAAGAAAGATCAATTCCATCAACACTGTTTGAGACAGAAAAGGATGGCTTGAAATACGAAGTGCAAGTTGGTCCACTGCACTTATCCCTGAGGTTTTAAAAAATCCCTCTGGCTCCATTTCCTTGCCAGTTCCTGCTGTGGTTTATGATTGCTGCATACTCCTTTGTAAAGGTATTAGACACTCCCCTCATTTGCACATGACTTAGAGAGAGTTGACTCCTCTTCCAAGAGCAGAGTGAAATGCACCTGCCTCTTGCTCTCATACCTAGGACTCACATTCCACCAGCTAAAGCTACAAGGCAGCTCTCACAATAAGGCAGCTTGAGTTATGAGGCAAACCAGATGGCACAGCAGAGAAAATTTAGAGGGAAAAAACCTTTGGGTGTAAAGTCCAATTCAAACTAGGCTGAAAGAGGAGCAGTCCCTAGGACAGCATCTCCTCCCAAAGTAATTGCCATGTTTCAGAGATCTTTACTCTCAGCAGTCCTGGCCCTGCAATTTCTAAGGCAGCCCCTTTGAGTGCCTCTTCCAATAGAAGATCTGATCTTCTCCTCTGCAGAGAGCAGGTCAGGTTTCAGCCTACAGCAAACCCAATTATCAGCACTTAACATGCCATAGTCATCAAAAACTCAGAGCAAGGTCAAAAGATTATACACACATTCCAAGTACATGAAAGAGTCTTGTAAAATTCTCTTCCAATTACAGCTGCACACAAAAGCAGAATCCAGTTACTTCCACTTATTTTCACAAGTTTATTATCAACAAACTGGAACTCATGGATGGTTATTACCTTGCTACCATCACTTTGTGGCAAATGCAGCCTAAGAGCAAGCCCCATGCAGACCTTAATTATTGATTTATTTGGAAATTTACCCTATTTGATACTCTAAAGGTATCTGCAGGTGTCAGCAACTACTATTTATGACAAAAAGCTTCATTTTCATTAAAGCAGAAGAAACTTTAATGATTTTTTCGCTTTCATATTCATTAGGGATATGCAGAGTAACTTCTGAATTTGAGCTACTTTTGAAAGCCCAGCTCCAAGGAACTGCTTCAAACTGAAGCATTCATAGAACACCCCTCTTCCAAAACCTGTCAAGATATAAAGATATAATATGTACAGGCAGCTTTCACCCAGGATACCTACACAAACTCAAATTCATTGCTTTATTAACTGTAGTAAGGGGTCTATCACTCAAATGAGCCTAAGTATTAAAAGAAAAGGTAAACCAAACAACAAAACCAAAAAGCAGCAGCTCTGAGTCTTTCAGAGCTGACAAACTGATTTAAAAAAAGACTTGGTAAACACAAATAAATCTGATCTGCTAGGGAAGAAACAACCTTTATTTGCAAAATTCACACCTTACAAAGTATTCTTTGAGAGGTGAATGACCATATAGGTGAGGATTTGCCAACCTACAGAATGCCAGAAGTCTTTGACAAGACCCCTTGTCCATTCAGAGAGTTACAACAGCTCTCCTGATGCATAAGAGCCCATCATGGCACAGGTAACATACATGAGCCACTACACTGCCAAGCAACAGATGACCACCCCAGGGAAGTTAGCAAGGAATTTACTATCAGTTAGCCCAAGTATTTGCAGTAAACAGAACCAGAATAGTGGGAAACACCAAATAAAGGGAAGAGAATCACAAACAGTGTTATACAGACCAGCAAGTAAAATGGAAATAATGGAACTGAAAGGTCCTGGTAACAACCTTCTGTGTAATCTGGCACTAAACCAGCCCACTGACATGTGCTCACTTTCTGGTTGGCCAGGGGACTCCACTGGCAGCTACAGGGCACAGGGCCAGACCCACTGAGCCTGACTGGTACCAGTAGGAATAGGAGAAAGTTTTTTTTCTGCCTTCAAGTTGTTTCCCTTCACTGCCCTTCTAAGGAAGCCACTGTTGGACTGCCAAGTAATTCCAGCATATCCATACAGGGACTCTGTTGAGGTCAGTCCCTAAGTGGGAAACAGGATTCCCACGGTTCTGTATTTAGCTGTGCCAGTCCAGACTGCACTGCTGGGCAGAGGTTAATGGATGAGAAGGGGGGTGTGAGAAGCTTCAGAGACTGTCTGAGGTTCTGCAGCTGGCCTGAGTGTGCATCTCTATAAATTGGTACTACCTCCCCATAAGCAGGGCCCAGGGACTCTGCTGGAGCCAAGCTGATTGTGAAGCCCTGAGCTGGCAGGCATGCAGAGGAGAGCAAGGACAGCTGATTCAATGATCATGATGTACCAGGGTGCAGTAAACTTGAGTAAGAATGCAGAGTCTTTGGGGAAGACAGAATGAAGGAACATTCAGTCTTCCAAAGTATTACTGTACCCAAACCCTGCACTTGATTAACACCTTCTTCATACATCACGCTCACAACCTTGGCATCTGACATTTTGAAACCACCAGCATCCAGCTGGCAGAAGATGACCCGTGTTATTGCTATTTCTTCATTTATGAAACAAGTGAACTTTTGGAATATCACTCTAGTGACTTTTAAAACCTTAACAAAAACCAAACCAGCCCTAAAGATGACATATCTTTTGTTCAGCAGAAACTATTTACCCAGTTGAGCCTACTGATGCCTACACAGGAAGAACTGGAAGAATAACTCAAATAACACTCCTGTCTCCTGCTCTACTAAAAAGGAGCCTCCTACGTGACTATACATAAAGACTGGCCTCCTAACTGACATGGACCAAAATTGGATGATCAAAGATTAGACTATATGAATCCACCAGGCTGCTGGAACACTCAAAAGTCCAGCTGAGACTCCTGGCTCCCACACGATCCTCAAATCACCCATGAAAATGTCAACAAAACCCTGTATGCAGACACTTTCAAACCTCACTCACTTTGTGAGTTTTGTGAGTTGTCTTGTTACTGTTTACTAACACAATGTAGGTCACTCATCTGGCAGGTCTCACTGGCACAGCAGCAGTGCACAAGAGCTTTCTGGTCAGCTGTGGAAAACAGTAAGGAAGATGACTAAGACACTCCAAAGTCAGAAGATTTCCAGACCTGTGTGTGATACCTGTTTGTAAAACACTGGAACTACAGATCCAATGCTGGGTGACACTGGTTTAAATCACAGTGTGTCTACTGTGCTCCATACGGAGAGGAGTCCCTGCCCCATTATGGGTTAAAGCAGTGAGTATTTTTATCAAGAGCACATGTAATCTCAGCACACAGGCAGAAGTTTTCAGATGTTATTTTTCTGAAAATATGACCATCTTCTTTTTATAGAAATTAGATTATGCTTCAGAAAAGGAGTGTTACAATAATATTAAAAAATACTTATTAATATACATACTCATATATTAGGTATCCATGGAATTGTACAAGGGAAGAGCTCACTAATATAAATGGACATCCCAACTCACACAGATCTACATTCAGGCTTGAACAGAAAGCTACAGCTAGAATAGCAGCAATATTAGCACATCTTCTTGAAAACCACATCTGAAAAACAAAGATCCTATACACTAGTTTGTTTGTGCAGAAAACAAAATGTCATCTGCTGCTTTCTTTTCATTCAACAGTGCTCATTTTCCAGAGCTGCCTGACAATGACAGGACAAAAGGGATCATTCTCAATTCCTCTGGCCAAGGGATGCTCAACAGAAAGTCGAAGCCCATCAGTTCATGCAGCCTCACTCCTATGCATTAAACCACCACTACAAATGCTGGCTGCAGGGATACTTTACCTCACATAGCAGTCTTTTTCTTGTGGACATCATGCTAATTTACAGTATTTTAAATGGCTTTGGCATGTCCCAAAGTAAGATAATGTGCAACTGATGGAATAAATCTCCAAATAGAAATCATTTGAAACAAGAGTATTCAGTTTCAATATTTGTCTGCTGCAGCTCCAAGATTAGGTCAGCCTTGGATTATTGTTCCAGCAGAGCAACAGATGGAAAGAAAGCCTGAAAGAACAGATTTTCAAGAGTTCAGCTCTCATCCAGGGACCTGCTTTTATGGAGAGATTTTTCTGAAGGGCTCAGAACTCAAGAGTACCTGTTCTACCTAAACAAAGGCAAGATGTGTTTATAATCTGTCCTCAATTTTTCTGATTATATCCTTTTCCAACATAATTTGAAAGCAGATGAGAATACCACAGATGGACAACTTTTGTTTAGTAGACAGTTCATTAGCAATAATCATAACGCAGAAACATTTCCTAAAATGTTTTCAACTAAATACCTAACAAAACACTCAAGCACTCATAAGCCTGGCAAGGGAACTAGGGTTATAGAGTAGACTGCAAAGAAGGAAAATTACCATAAAGGAACTTTCTTTATAATTTTCCCCTGATTTTCTAGACTAGACCAGAGTGTAAGACTTGCTGAAACAAGTTAAGGACAACAAAAGACAAGTTTCAAAACATAATCATGACTAAATTAAACCACCGTGGTCCAGAACAAGAGAAGCATAATAAAGTTGTCAGTAATGATGTGAAAAAGCCAAAAATATTCACTAGTATTTTAGATTTCACCTGCAAAGCAGCAAAATGGTACTTTCAGGGTTTCTGACAACAGTGAAATTTTTCTTATCCTAGTACTCATGTTAATGATTAACATTTTCAGATATGCAGTACCAGATAACACACAGTAAGATGTTTTGGGAAAAATTGGCCAGGCATTTTGTGCACCCTGGATGCAA